TGAAGATTGGTCACTGTTTGGACCAAAATCTTCTCCTAGTGTGACTCCCAGGTGTGCTATGGCCGTCAGGAACAACAGAGACGCCACAAGCTGAAGGAAGAAAACACAGACCAGACAGGAGAATAAATCATGTTATTTTATGCAAAAAAAAATTTAATAATCTTTTGCATAAACTTTTGACCAATACTATGGTTTTTTTTTCATGAGATAACAAATACTTAAAACTAAGTTCTTTCCCTTCATTCCTTCAAGGTTTTAGAGAAGTGATAACAGATGCTTAAAATACGCAGAATGAGACATCTCTTTGCCCTTTTGCTGTAAATGACTTGTCCTTTCCATGTTAGAACATTTCATACACAGTATATTTATAATAAACTCACAGAGAATGGCCTCTTGGTGTTTTTGACCTTAACAGTGAATTTACACTACATGTGTTTTAGCTTCAATGTATACACTCTTTTTTTACACTGACCTTTGGAAAAACATTGTTCTTTTTATATTACTCCAGTCCTCAAGGGCCAGTTTTCCCAAATTTTTCCATGTGTCCCTGCTGCAACACATCTGAATAAAATTCAGTAGGTCATAGGTTCTCAAACTGTGGTACGCGTACCACTGGTGGTACATGGGCTCCCTCTAGTGGTGTGCAGGAAGTCTCTAAAAATTTTTGAAGACTGAATAATATACCATGTTCTGATTCAGGGATTTCTGAAAAATTAAAACGTAAAGCTCTGCTATCACTTTCGACATAAATGACGACAGGAAACTAAACAGAAGTGACATTTATATGGTTACTGTAGTTGGACTAGCTGGTATATAATGATGTGCTACATGGTGGCTAGCTACACAACTATGGTTAGCATAATATAAACACAGTGAAGCTGGAGGATGAACGCTAACTTTTTTCAACTCGACAAAAGTTAACGTGAGGTTTCCCAATGTTTAGGGACAAATGCAATTACATGTCGGGATGATGTAAATGGACCAAAAGTCAGTCATTACTGAGATAATCCATTCATAGTACGAGGTTGGTCATTAATATACTGCTGCATGGGCTGGGCTGTTGTTACATTGTAAGGTTTTCAAAACTGAGTTTTAAAATGAATAGTGGTAATAAAAATTGAGAGAGGTCAACAGTTATCACAGCCTTTTTTAGGGGCTTGTTCAGATTAAGTAGGAAAAGTTACAAAGCATTAAACATGCTAAAAACACAACAGCCTTAATAAATGCAGAGTAGTTTTGACCCGAAGGCAGGGTTCATCACTTAAAGACTTGGATAGCCACCTGCTGTGAATGTTTTAATGCAGTACAGTTGTTATTATTATCACTTGTCACATCCTGATTATGACAGTTAAAATAAATAACATTCACATAAGAAATAAAATTGTCTCATGTAAACTGTATA